GGTATCAAAATATGCTCATCTGACCTTGATTAAATGCCTAAAACCCCTCAGCTTCCGGGGCTCTGTCCCTTGGACCCCGCCTAGGGCCCTAAGGCGGACCCCTGGATGCTAATCTGACGGTAATTTAATGCCTAAAACCCCTGAGCTTCTGGGGGCTCCGCCCGCTGGACCCCACGCCAATTACTGTCCTGCCATTGTCACAAAATAAAAAAAGTATAAAAGTATGTTCATCTGACCGTAATCAAATGCCTAAAACCCCTCGGTGGGGGCGGTTCCCCCAGAACGCCGGCCAAAAAACAAAAAAGAGAGGAGAAAAAAGGAAGAGGACGTGGGGAAAAAAAGGAGCAGATAAAGAACATTTTTGAAATTCAGACAAGTATTACGAATAGTCTTCTTTCTCTCATGATTTAATGAAACGTAAAAGCTTCAACGCTTCGCGCGGGAGGGGGAGGGGAAACTGAATTCAGACAAGAATTAACAGTCGAGAACGGTACAATGATCGTCTTCTTTCTCTAATAATTTAATGAAATGTAAAAGCTTTCAAGCTTCACGCGTGAAGGGGGAACTGAATTCAGACGAGAATTAAGAGTCGAGAACGGTACAATGATCGTCTTTTTGCTCTAATAATTTAATGAAATATAAAAGCTTTCGCGCTTCGCACGGTAGGGGCGGCGGTGGGGAACTGAATTTAGACAAGGATTAAGAGACGAGAACGGTACAACGAATCGTCTCATTTCTCTAATAATTTTATGAAATGTCAAAGCTTCCGCGCTTCGCGCGGAGGGGGGGGGGGGGGGACTGAGTACAGACAGGGATTAAGAGTCGAGAACGGTACAACGAATAGTCTTCTTTCTCTAAGATTTTAATGAAACGTCAAAGCTTCCGCTTTCGGAGGAGGGAGGGAAAAACTCGCCCTTCCCTGCACCCACCTCCCCCCTCTATTACGTCACTGCTGGTCACCATTACGTACCAATATTTGGCTCGCATAATTTCAAATTTGCCCCCCCCCCCCTGAAGCTTTGACATTTAATTAAATTAATAGAGAAAGAAGACGATCATTGTGCCGTTCTCGACTGTTAATTCTTGTCTGAATTCAGTTCCCCCCCCCCCCCCTCCCGCGCGAAAGCTTTTACGTTTCAATCAATTATTAGAGAAAGAAGACGATCATTCCCGATCATTGTACCGGCCGTTCTCGACTCTTAATTCTTGTCTTAATTCAGTTCCCCCCCCCCCCTCCCTCCCGCGCGAAGTGCGGAAGCTTTGAGGTTTCATGAAATTATTATAGAGAAACGATTCGTAATACTTGTCTGAATTTCAAAAATGTTCTTTGTCTGCTCCTTTTTTTTCCTACGTCATCGATCTTCCTTTTTTCTCCTCTCTTTTTTGTTTTTTGTTTTTTGGCCGGCATTCTGGGGGGATCGCCCTCTCCCCTTTTAGGCATTACATTACCGTCAGATGAGCATATTTTGATACCTCATTATTTTGTGACACTGGCAGTTAACTATTCTTTCTTTCTATTTCTCTTTAATATACTTTTTTCCAAAAAAAAAATCTGGGGTGGGGGGGGGGGGGGAGCTCGAGGCTTCCGATCCCCGCCATTTCGCGGGCCCTGACATGTAGGCAACTCAAAAAAGCACATTTCTTGCCTGACTGCAAATTTTGGAATTTGCCATTTTCCAACAAACGCATAAAAAAGTATAATTTACTAACAAGTGAGGAAAAATCTCGGAAATTATGTCATTTCAGCATTATTTGTAAATCACCGTTATGGAAATAAAGAGAACCACGTTTGAATGTTATTGATACCAAGTACCCCCCCCCTCCCCTATCAGTACGCCAGTGCCACCGCCCCCCCCCCCCGATCTACACTTTGTTTGCTGGAAAAATCGCAACTGATCTCCTCTACCTTTCTTCTTTCTCTTTTGTTTTCTTTCCCTTTGTCTCCTCTTCCCCTTCCCTTCCTTCTCTCTCTTTTAGGTTTGCTGGGGGTAGGGGAGGCAAGGGCCTTCCGGCCCTCACCCCGATCCACGCGTTGTTGGCGGGATTAACCGTTACTGATCTCCCCATCTTTTCATCCTTTTCTTTTCTTCTTCATCTTTTTTGTTCCCTTTTCGCTCTCCTTTTTCCTTTTTCCTTCCTTCTCTCTTTTTTTTAGCGGGGGCGGGGGAGGCAAGGGCCATTTCCCCCCCAACCCAACCCACAACTTGTTGGCGGGAAAATTGCAACTGATATCCCCCTTCTTTTCTTTTCTTCTTCCTCTATTTCTTTCCCTTTATCTGCTCTTTTCCTTTTTTCTTTCCCTTTCCTTCCTTCTCTCTTATTTTTTTATGGGGGGGGGGGGCGGGGAGGCAACAGCCTGCGACGCAAGACCCTTTCGCCTCTGGTCTCCTTCTTCCCCCATTTCTTTCTTTCCCTTTTTCTCCTTTTTCCCTTTCCCTTCTCTTTCTCTTTTTTTGCGGGGGGGGGGGGGGCAAGGCCTGCTCGACCCCCCCCCTTGGATCCGCGCCCGAGAGACAGAGAGGGGGGGGGGGGGGGGGGGGGAGGGTGGAGCTTTTATAGGATCAGCACAGAGTGCCACAGACCCATGCAAGGAACCATTTCTGTTGAATTCACCATAATACCTTCATTGTTACGACTATTATTGTTTGCTAGTGTAAAGTTTATTGAAAAGTAATAAATATGTTGACTTTTATATCAAACTCTTTATTACGTTTTGTCTTTTTAATTAGCATCAATAACGAAGTTTATAGAAAAGTTAAACCGGGTGAAAGTTGTGTGAGTGAATGTTGATTGGGTATGTCTTGTTGCTGTCTTAATTGAATAATAACTGATTATGAAAGTGACACATTTATTTTGAACTAAAGAAGGGCATGTTATGTGAAAAAATGTGACTTTCCTTAAATTTAAATTTGTGTGGATGTGATAACAACCATTATAGATGGCATATATGCCGGTGAATACATTTTTCAGATGGTATAGACAATTAAAGATAATTTCAATTTGTGTTGGCAAAATGTAAAAAAAAACACACATTAAAAAGCATGTGCACCTCTACATTTTTTCAGCAAGACTTAACGAATACATAAACGTGTGTCTGTAAAATGGCAATTGATTTTTTATTTGTAATTTAACGACAGTTATGGAAGACTAGTTAACATTTACAAACTGAATTCCATACAAAAAAAGAAATGGATACTGTTTTGTATTTCAATAAATAAATGACTGATATGCAAGACTAGCTAAACACCTATATTTGACATTTTTTAAATATCTAAGTTAATTTTTTCATTGTGTTTCTTTTTATTTACTGATTTAATTCTTATAAATGCCTGATCTGCAAGACTACGCAAAAAGTAGTTTCAATTTGGATTATTTCAAATTATAAAACGACATTTCTATTCCTTAAACATTTTAAACGACTGATGTGAAAGACTAGTCGACGCACCCTTTCGAGAAAAGACCCCCCTCTTTTCTCGAAAGGGTGTGCTAAGACGGTCCTCCATTCCCAACGCACCCTTTCGAGAAAAGCGGGGGGCCTTTTATCGAATGGGTGCGTTGAACTCACCACACCGCGCCGCACCGCACCCTTTCGATGTAAGCCCTCATGAATCATGAACTGCATGGGAGTCACAAAGTCAGATAAAAATTCATGGTTTTATTTGGAATGAGAATATCACAAAGACAACCAGCTAGCATGCACTAATACTGGGATAAAAATACAAAATAAAAAGACAAATATTAAACATTGAGTAATAAACACCTGTTCGCAGCACAAAGACCTTAATGTAGTTCATTGTGTAGCATTCCTTTTATTTATCTATTGAAATCAAATGAAAATAAAGGCTTTTGTTATCACTGAGACCATTTCAAACATTTAGAAAAAGAAGCCTACAAATGTTAATCCCTTTTGACGAAAAAAAAAAAAAAGGATGAACAAAAATAGGAAAACTTAAGGATAATACATATATTCAGTACTACCGGTACTTATCTAATCTTGTAAACTACTACTTCCACTTACAAAAAAACAGGAAGATAAATTAAAAAAATAATCAATAAAATTGGTTCTAAATAACTCAACTTGTAAACTACGGCTTCCACTAAAATTATAGTAACATGACAATCTCCAAATTATAAAATTAAAATGCAGGTACATGAAAAGTACGCTTTTGAAATGATAATTCAACTTATTTCCCAGGATGTTTGCTTATCAAGTATATGCATGATTTGTTACGGCTTCTGCAGAACATTTTAAACAACCTTCTATTATATTCTTCCTTTTCTGCAATGTTTTCACTGAACCTCAAACTTGAAAAGGTCCCATATATATAAATGGGCATGACATCAACATGGAATAAATAAAAAAGTGATCATTTAAAAATATATATTACTTCAGTCTTCAATTATTTTTCTATATTGCCACTGTATTATAAATCGAGGAGAGGGCTTCTAAACAGTACTTAAAGGTAAAGACCAGTATTGGAAACGCCCCAATTTCAAAAAATGAAATGCAAGCTCTTATTACCAATCATGTGAAAGAATATGTTTTGAATATTACATGATGATAAAAATTTTGATGGGAAACCGCCTACTAATTGATATATTTGGTAAATTAGTGTATCTCTCGCCTGTTGAGAGATATGAAATGCACGTGTCGCGCACGTGTGTGTAGTCCCATATACATCTTTCTGTGTACAGTGCTTCTAACTTTATGAAGACTTGGCCAAATTTCTTATCATTTTGATGATTCCAGAACCTTGCAGTACATCTATGCTAGATGATCAACCTTTTCTGATCGATTTCACAACGTTTCTTTCGCAATGCAATCGCATGACCATAACTGGTCTTTAGCTTTAAGATAAGCTGTAGTAAGCTAGTATGTGTTAACCTATTGGTTTCTCACCATTGCTTTCTCAAGGGAATGCATAAATCCACAGAATCACATATTTTGATGGTTCATTATTGAAGAAAAAAATTATCTTCTAAAGATCAAAGGTTTTTTCCCTCTAAAATTACATCTGGTTCAAGACTTTTTAAGGGCATAAATCACCTACCATAGTGTAAGTCCAAGTCTTAAATGTAACTTAAGATTACAATGTAAATAACTTTTTTTTCTTCAACAATGAACGATCAAAAAAAGGTAAATTCTGTAGATTTGTGACGTCCCTTGAGAGAGCAACCAGTGGCATGAAGGGCCTGCCATAGTTCAAGTCCAACTTAAGTCAATCCAAGTTTATTACCCCATTCATAGACGAGCTCCAGCATATTTGGTACTCATTAATACATGGGTGGAGAGTCGAGCCCTACTTTAACCCTGGCTCAAACACTATATCGAACTCTTACCTTTGAACTGACCTCAACCCTAACCCTACCCTTTAAAGGCCGTCTGTACTAGTTTGGCTAGGAGGAATTAGACCACCCAGGGTGGTCACTGACAGGTGGCTATCTCATCAACTCAGCTCTCAATTAACATAAGAAAAAGAGGATCATGGGGGAGCAAAGGTCACCGATTAGGCATTGTTTTCTATATAGAGGGAGCAAGTAGCTACAAGTAGTACAGTGGGGCTTTAAGTAACAATTGATGATTAAAAAAGAACCGTTGATACAAAGGACACTCTCTGGCTGCTATTTACGTTGAGGGCGCTATTTAACTCCTGGCTGTGCCTGACCGAAAAAGCCTCCAGACTGCTTGGCTGCAGCTCGAGAAGGTGCGAACCCAAGGAGCTTCTGAATATTCTGCACAATGACAATTTGGGAGAAAAAGGGAATATATACATGTACCTGTAGTGAAAATGGCAACAGTAGTAAATATCATTTGCCAATCATGAAATTAAAGAAAGGAAGGAGAGACATACAGTGTATATTCACACTTGTTACTAGATGTAATTGTCTATCAATTTCTGAGTACATGTATTATGTAATCACCTGAACTCATTTTCAATGTTGTTGGCTCATAAATATGTACCGGTAATTACAATTTTTTTTTAAATTTCATCTTCTGTCAGACTTCTCTCTCTTAAATGGATTTAATGTATAGTTTCATCTTGTAAATAATTATCTACGTAATGATTGTTTCAACAATGCTATATGCCTCATGTGTTTCATTTTATGTAACCTAAAATGTAATTAAAGGCATCGTTTAACAATGTTAAATCTGAGATGCACAGCCCTACGTGTTATCAGTGTCTGTGATATGGTGTAATATTGAAGCCCTAAAAAAATCACGATTAAAAATGATCAAGAAGTGCCTCAAAAAAGTAAAAATCTTTGATTGACCGGTATTACCATACTCCTTTTCCCCAATAGACTGTAGTGTTATGAAAACCGTTAGGCAAACGCAAAATTTGGTTTCGATTTCCAATCATAAATATCTTGATAATCAGACAGGCGATTGGCTTGTAAAAGTCATGGGGTTCCTGACTAAGCTTTAGGTTTATAATCATCATTGCAGCATGAGCTAAATCCAGGATTTTGTTTCAGAATCTGAGACAAAGTTACCGGATCCCTTTAAGCTTTCAGGCTGCCATATTTTCAATTAACAATTCAATTCAATTTGAAAGACCTACCTGCCGGATTGACATGGTGCACAGTATATAGAGAAAGATGAAAGAGGAATCTGTGAAGTCATTTCCAAGAAGATTACGATGCGAGATACCATGTAACCAGGATATAGGTGTGAACGGGAGTTTGGCAACGACACGACCATCAAATCTGTAAAATATCAATATGATTTTCAGAAAAGATATCAATAATTTTTCAAAATTAAAGGGAACCAAAACCTTCATACAAGTTACTTTTATTGTAAAGTTTAAGATATTTGAATAAATTAAGTGAAAATTTGAACGAAATCAGGCAAGGAATAAGGAAGTTAAAGCTTTTTGAAATGACTAGTCACTAGAGGGCGATATTCAATTTGATGCGTCATTTGTGGACAACTCTCCATGCCTTTTGTACTTCAAATTTCATGTTTTTCCTTCTTTCTTGTGATTGAGATAATCTACTCCCCTGAAAGCAAGGTATAGAATGCAAAATGATATTCTACTTCACATGTTATGAAGTCGGATCAAGAACACAAATAAATACGAAGAAAACGAAAGAATTGTGAAATTTGAAGTACAAAGGGCACGGAGAGTTGTCCACAAATGACGCATCAAATTGAATATCTCCCTCTAGTGACTAGTCATTTCAAAAAGCTTGAACTTCCTTATTCCTTGCCCGATTTTGTTCAGATTTTTACTGATTTTATTCAAATATCTTAACTTTACAATAAAAGAAACTTAGTATTAAGGTTTTGGTTCCCTTTAATATCAATACTATTTTCAAAATCTATCGTGTAGACATGTTGTGGTCCAGTGGATACCTCATTGGACTGTGAATCACAGGGTTTGCGGTTCAAGTACCACAACAATAGTACTGTTAGATGTTAAATCTTTGTAAGATATATATACATTGACATTTTGGGAATTAAATATATTTCCTTTGACAAACTTTCCCTGCTGGATAACATCCTACATAATCATACATATGCATTTAGATTAATATCCTATCATATTTTACAAGCCTTTTATTGCAAAATTTACATTTGCTACGTTTTAACTTTGAATTTTTTTTCAACTCACGCTTTAATATAGGACGGTTAATGAATGCAACTTCCTTTGTATCAAAGCATACAAATTGAAATGTGCAAATAACAAATGTATCCTGCATTGATGAGAATACATGTTGTTAATCTTTGTGTCTCTCATCCTCAATGCCGTCAAAACGAAAAGATGATCAGATATTGATGACTTTAAGAAGTGAAATTGACATCATGAAAACTTGAATGCTTACATTGAGTTGAACATGCTCATTAGCGAAGTGAACGTGAATGCAATAACAATCATAGATTTCATCTTGACCATGGAAAGATCCCTGCTGTTTGTCTTCAACTTTTCTTCCTGACGCTCTGCAGTATAAAAAGAAGAATGAGAAATGGTATTTCATTTTCATTTTTTTCTTCATTTCATTTCATTTATTTTCCATTAAAATTCAAAGTAAAATACATAACAAATTAACAGCAAAATTGGAAGGAAGAAAACAGTATGTGATGGCCGATGGTACAGAATCTAATTGTTTGTGTATAAATACGGGTGTCCCACAGGGATCTGTGCTTGAGCCACCGTTGGGCCACCGTTACAAATTCCAATAACACACGACAGTCGAACGTGCCTTAGTGGCCACCTCTCTATAAAGACCACCTGTCTATTTAAAAGTGGCCATGTATTTTATGTTCCCTGAAAAAGAAATAAGCGTTTTAGAACCTTTCTAGAAGGGTCATCTGCCTATAGTGGCCACATTTTCTGTTCCCGTGGTGACCTTAATAGGCAGGTTTGAGTGTCAAACATTCATAACTTTCTTATTATTGGTCCGATTTAGTTTCGAACTTTCGCTTGTTTCTCTCATTTTTCTACTTTTATACAAATGAAGGGTTGGATTTCCCTTTAAAGAGAGGATCAAGTTCTGGGAGAGGTGAAAAATAATTTGTGAGCGTTCTCATTGTTATTATAATGCAAGTGTGGAAGAACATCAGAGAAAAAATGTTCCCTGAAAGTGAAAGGCATGGCTCTTCAAATGCCTTCATATTCTAAATCATGTAACAGCTTAAAAATAGGACCACATTTTTATGCCACATGTTTGTGTAGTCCCATAAAAATCTTTCTGTGTACAGTGCTTGTTACTTTTACCAAGACTGGACCCAATTTCTTATCATTTTGATGATTCCAGAACCTTGTTGTATACACATACCAATACTTATATGCTACATGATCAACTCTTTTGATAGATATTACACTGTTTCTTTCAAACTGCAATCGCCTGACCAGAACTCAACTTTATCTTTAATATTGCAGTCTATAATTGCGGTTCATGTCCCATCTAAACTTTTACACCAGGGGAGCGTTTCACAAAACTTGTCATCAGTGACAAATTACATTTTTTTGTTATAAGCTACTGAAATCCTTGCTTCTGATATCAGCAGATTTGTCACTGATTTTTGTCATTCGTCATTGAAAAAAGGCTTTGTGAAATGGGCCCCAGTAAGTCATCAATACCTACCAAGCTTTTTCTTCTGGTTCTTGTCCGATGAATCACCAAGCGCTTCTTTCGTCCTTTCCACTAAAACAATCAAACAAAGAACGATATTACAAAAACAACTGTAAGAGATCAAATATCATTATTTCTTATAATACTAATTTACATGTACTTTGGTAATGACAAATGAAAAAGAAAGAAATTCCTATTCTGACTGGCTCTGTATTTGAAACTTAATAATCAATCTTAATATGATTTGCTTCTGTCTTCTGTCTTTCTGAACCAAGAAATGACTATACAGGTATTTGTTTGACAATTGAATGAAAATTTGATGGGAGTGCATCTTTACTAAAGGGAGATTTCACAAGCATAAACAAATGTAAAATCTTAGCAACATTTTCTAAACAATCTGGACGAGATTTAGGACAAGATTTTGTTTCATTCATTTATAATTTATTTCATGTTATTTTATTTTTCTATATTTTTGGGGTTATGTCTATGTCTATGTCTATGCTGGTACTCGTCAAAAGCCTTTTCAGCAACTAAACGAGGATATTGTGGTGTGGTGTCTCTCATAGTGGTCATGATGAATTGGTGCAAGGCAATCAGACCCTGGTTTATATTTGTTTAAACAACGCAATAACTCAGCCCTAATGTTTACTTACGTTTCTTGCTTTGTTTTTCTACCTCAGCTTTCAGCTTCTTGTATGTCTCAGTCCTGTATACCAAGATGTATGTGATTCCTGAAATCGGTAAAAGAAATAAAAAATAATGAATCAAGAGTAGAACTACAAAATTAGGCCCACTAGACAAACAATAAAGCTTAAAATTCATTATCATTATCATCATCATCATAAATCCATCATTTGCAATCATACTAAACATGTGTAATTACCCCTAATGACCGTCTACATGACTAATTCACCCCTACTTTTTGTTCCATAACAGTTTATATTATAATCCACACACAAAACCAATAGGCTCCTATGGAGCTCCTGTGCTGACCGCAGAAAGGAAACAAATTGCCTTAATGATGTTGTTTCTTCAGTTCTTTTGTCAGCCAAGTCTCCCAATTCAGTCATGTGCCTTTTTTTTAAATGTGCACAATATAGTTCCCTCTAGGCTCTAGCTCATTTTTTATCAGGATAATGTTCAGATGCCTGCACAGCACCTGCCAGTACGAGAATACACCAGACGGCTGCCTGGACTCATAGCGAAGAAGAAGAAGAAGAAGAAGAAGAAGAAGAAGAAGAAGAAGAAGAAGAAGAGAAGAAGAAGAAGAAGAAGAAGAAGAAGAAGAAGAAGAAGAAGAAGAAGAAGAAGAAGAAGAAGAAGAAGAAGAAGAAGAAGAAGAAGAAGAAGAAGAAGAAGAAGAAGAAGAAGAAGAGAAGAAGAAGAAGAAGAAGAAGAAGAAGAAGAAGAAGAAGAAGAAGAAGAAGAAGAAGAAGAAGAAGAAGAAGAAGAAGAAGAAGAAGAAGAAGAAGAAGAAGAAGAAGAAGAAGAAGAAGAAGAAGAAGAAGAAGAAGAGAAGAAGAAGAAGAAGAAGAAGAAGAAGAAGAAGAAGAAGAAGAAGAAGAAGAAGAAGAAGAAGAAGAAGAAGAAGAAGAAGAAGAAGAAGAAGAAGAAGAAGAAGAAGAAGAAGAAGGAGAAGGAGGAGGAGGAGGAGGAGGAGGAGGAGGAGGAGGAGGAGGAGGTGAAGTAGGAGGAGAAGGAGGTGAAGGAGGTGAAGTAGGAGGAGAAGAAGGTGAAGTAGGAGGAGAAGGAGGTGAAGTAGGAGGTGGAGGAGAAAGAGGAGGAGGAGAAAGAGGAGGAAGAGGAAGAGGAAGAGGAAGAAGAAGAAGAAGGAGGTGAAGTAGGAGGAGGAGAAAGAGGAGGAGGAAGAGGAAGAGGAGGAGGAAAAGGAAGAGGAAGAGGAAGAAGAAGAGGAGGAAGAGGAGGAGGAGGAAGAGGAAGAGGAAGAGGAAGAGGAAGAAGAAGGAAAAGAAGCAGAAGAAGAAGGAAAAGAAGAAGATGAAGAAATAGAAGAAGATGAGGAAGAAGAAGATGAAGAAGGAGGAGGAGAAGAAAAAGGAGAAGAAGATGAAGGAGGAAGACAAAGAGGAAGAAGAACTGAATTGTCAAAGACATCATCATGATCATGGACATACTTCTCGAGTCTAGCCATTAACCATTATCATAATCAGTTAATTGCAATTACCAAGTACCTGTAATTGGATTTTTTGAGCCATCACTATTCAATGTCTATTGCCATCGATAATATAATGTAGATATGTGATAATCCGCTTGTCTGCAGTGCATTGATTTTGCACCGCACTCTTAATTCAAGATCTATTTTGAGTGCACAGACAGGGCTCTGTTTAAATTGCTATAGCACTTACATCATGAATACAACAATCGATCGAGACGTGGGGAACTTCGAATTTGTCTCGTTCTTGAATATTTGTGTGCGACGATCAGAACCAGAGCCACAAGCAAACAAAGATTGACTACATATTCAATGCATCAGATTTCAGTGAAGGAACGGGAGTCAAGCTTCAAATATTATATGTTTCGATAGAATATTTATCAATTTACCTGCATATGAAATTTTTAAGTGATTTGATTTCCGAAACTTAAACAATGTGTGCCAAGAAATTAAGCTTGTTCAAAACATGCATAGAAGTCATGCTTATATGTTTGCGAGTTCTAAAAATCACGCTTGGCGATCTTCGCGCAAAATCCACGAAAATTGATGCAGTCTAGAGTCTACTGTGAATATTTCTATTTTTACAGTAGATCAGTAGATCTAGATCTAGGCCTAGACTTTCTAGATCTAGACCCTAGTCCTATTCATTGATTTGACTTGACTTGCACTTGATCTCGACTCACGTCACTCGAGTCTAGACATCAATCATCACTGACATCATGCACCATATCATCATCATCACCGCCTCCTTTACCACTTCGACCATGACCATCATCACCAATCACCATCTATGACGATCTATCCCCATCAAGATCGAGGTCGAGTTACCACACCCCTATAACATCGGGTGCGTCGTTTGGAGCACACCTACAGGTCTATACTGAATATTCATATCGTGACGTCACGATCAGGCCAGGCATGCGCCGCTTAGTCCTTTACATATGGCTACACATACGTGCAATGCAAAGCACTTTGGATAGCGTAGCATTATTGTTATTTTTATTCTATGTGCTGATTGTGCTCGATGAAATACACTTGCTACTAATACAAGTATATTTCTCAATTATATTTGCGTCATGTGAATAAATATCATCTGGAATCGCACTAATACATCTCCTCAGAGAAAGCATTGATGTATAATTATTTCTGACTCATTTTCATCATTTTGTGTCCGTTTATATAAATCGCCTTGGAGATGTGCTCCATCGACCGCTACATGTGCTCCATAACTTACACTTGCTAATATATGTATATTTTCTCAATTATATTTGTGTCATGTGAATAAATATCATCTGGAATCGCACTAATACATCTCCTCAGAGAAAGCATTGATGTAGATATATTATTTCTGACTCATTTTTATCATTTTGTGTCCGTTTATATAAATCGCCTTGGAGATGTGCTCCATCGACCGCTACATGTGCTCCATAAATTACACTTGCGAATATATGTATATTTTCTCAATTATATTTGCGTCATGTGAATAAATATCATCTGGAATCGCACTAATACATCTCCTCAGAGAAAGCATTGATGTAGATATATTATTTCTGACTCATTTTTATCATTTTGTGTCCGTTTATATAAATCGCCTTGGAGATGTGCTCCATCGACCGCTACATGTGCTCCATAAATTACACTTGCTAATATATGTATATTTCTCAATTATATTTGCGTCATGTGAATAAATATCATCTGGAATCGCACTAATACATCTCCTCAGAGAAAGCATTGAAGTAGATATATTATTTCTGACTCATTTTTATCATTTTGTGTCCGTTTATATAAATCGCCTTGGAGATGTTCTCCATCGACCGCTACATGTGCTCCATAACTTACACTTGCTAATATATGTATATTTTCTCAATTATATTTGCGTCATGTGAATAAATATCATCTGGAATCGCACTAATACATCTCCTCAGAGAAAGCATTGATGTAGATATATTATTTCTGACTCATTTTTATCATTTTGTGTCCGTTTATATAAATCGCCTTGGAGATGTGCTCCATCGACCGCTACATGTGCTCCATAAATTACACTTGCTAATATATGTATATTTCTCAATTATATTTGCGTCATGTGAATAAATATCATCTGGAATCGCACTAATACATCTCCTCAGAGAAAGCATTGATGTAGATAAATTATTTCTGACTCATTTTTATCATTTTGTGTCCGTTTATATAAATCGCCTTGGAGATGTGCTCCATCGACCGCTACATGTGCTCCATAAATTACACTTGCTAATATATGTATATTTTCTCAATTATATTTGTGTCATGTTCTGCTCCTTTATTAATGTGTTCTTTATATCACAGACCCGACCACTAGTGCCGCTCATACGACCTCTAGTTCTGCTCCTTTATTAATGTGTTCTTTATATCACAGACCCGACCACTAGTGCCGCTCATACGACCTCTTGTTCTGCTCCTTTATTAAAGGTAATACAAAGTTTTGGTATGGGGTCATGAATTTGGTTCAAATGAACATAATGGAAGCATATGCGATCCCACAATATTCAGTGATCGTTATCGCGGTTGAAATCGAGTCTAAAGTTAGGAAATTGTAAATAATTAACTCTTTATGTTGTATAGCTCCCTCTCAAGGCCAAGATATTAATTGAGCTATAAAACAATGCTTCTTGACTAAAATCGACCGATTAGCTATTCCCGTCTGGAAATTTTTATATCACAATTACATTTTCTGAGATTTTCATGGTCGCAGCAACTTTTGTACGGCCGTAGGCGCTATTTGAAATTTATCAAAATTTACCGGGAGCACCGGTAAATTTTTATGTTCAAGTTTTCTCGAAAGCAGAAGCGTTTTAGGGACTAAATTTTCTAGTGCTTATAATTCATCCACAGGAGCATCCAAATATATCAAAATTGAAAAGAATCACTATCAACCCAATTTTCAAAATGTCCCAAAACTTTGTATTACCTTTAATGTGTTCTTTATATCACAGACCCGACCACTAGTGCCGCTCATACGACCTCTAGTTCTGCTCCTTTATTAATGTGTTCTTTATATCACAGACCCAACCACTAGTGCCGCTCATACGACCTGTGGTGTATGGTCATAATTTACCGTAGTATCTTCTAAAAAACTGCGTTCTAACCATTCATTCCATAAAACTTGATAAGATCATGTTTTAAAGTTTTGTTCCCACTTAATTTTTGCTCATTTTAAACATTTAACTACATAAACATTTACATGTAAATCAATTTCAACAACCTAAAAAATAAAGATCACAAACAAATATTCTGCTTGATTGAGTGTTATTATATTGCCATTAAGTTACACATTATAAAATGGTAATGTATCAGAAAGATTATGTGTGGAGTTTCTAGACTGAACCGATGAACGTTATTTTCATGTACTTAACAAAGATTATGTTAACAAACTTCTCCATCAACTCAAATTTACACTGGAAGAAAAAAATCGTGACGCATGTGACCTGATAAAAAATAGAATGTGCTTTACCACAGAACTAGTTTTGAATTAAAAGTTTGTTTTCTTTCAAAGATTGGTTCAGAAAAAAATTATAAATATGCTACAAACCCTTTGATACCACATACAGTATTGGATTTTACAAATTTAACTTTTTCAGCAAATGACTTTAGTATTAAACATAATATGCCCAGTCTGACAATATAAAATATCAAGTATTTCACAACAATAATAAAAAAATAAGTAATCTATTTTCCCTTTATTATGTTAGCTCCCCCTCCCCCCAAAGTTCTTATGGCTGGCCATACAAAATATTACAACCCATAACAAAACGAAACAAAAACCACACAATTATTCACCATCTTGCGTGCAGGGTTGGGTTAAAATACAATTGAGAGCAGAACGAATGACAGTAGCATCTTTCTGACGACGTATTTGGGCTTTTCAATAGCTCATGCTAAAATGAATTTATGAGCGATATATTTCTTTATATATATTTATATTTATATCTATTTTGTTTTCAGTGATATTTTTTATATATATTTGTCTAAACTCTTAAACCTCAAATTACAACACGTAATTACCAATTTGACTATCATTATTTTTTTTGAATTTTTTTTGAAAAAAATAAGAAATGCATATACTGAAACACTTACTGATGCATTCATTAGAGCCAAGGTGTTGACTACATCTATCATAAGCATGAGTTGATCTCAACTCAGTGAACAACCTTTATTTCCCTTCCAAGTGAATTAAGGTACATCGTAAAGATAAGCCATGGGTCACATTAAAAGTCAAAGAGTTGATCCATGTAAGGAGCTCCCCACTTTGTGATGTCATCAATGAATCCTTGCTCGAAGGAGTAGTCCATATGCAGTGGAAGAAGTCAACTGTCTGTCCAGTCCCCAAGGAATCTCCACTAGCTATTGACAAACTTCGACCTATTGGTGGGTGTTCGGTGACATTGTCAAGGAATCGACAAGCAGCAGTTTGGCAACCGACAAGGTGTCTCCACTACCCACTACCTTGTTGACCTTGCACAGTAATGCAGACAAGCCACAGACTGTGTCAACTATGGTGATAACTGACTTCACCAAGGCATTTGATTTAGTGAACCACAACATTGCTGTTAGCAAGCTTCACCTAATGGGTGCCCGTCCAGCACTCCTCCCATGGATTTGCAGCTTTTTACACCAAAGGGTACAGGTGACGAGATACCACGGTGTTCTGTCAACATCCTTGATGCCTAGTGGAGGTATGCCACAGGGTAAATCCAGCAAAGTGCAAAGTGATGCAAGTATTGTTTTCATGAGCGGCCATCCCCTTTCCACGCATTGAGCTGTGTAACAATGTTCTTGAAGAAGTCAAGGAGTTGAAATTGCTTGGGGTTATTATCCAGCCTAACTTCTGGTGGAATAGTCATGTGAATGAAATCATCAAGAAAGCGTTGTGGAAATTCTATTTGATTAGTAGAATCTCAAGATCAAGCTCATCAAGCAGGGGCTTTGGCTTTAACTGCTTCACAGGATCTAGCTCAATGAAATCTACTATCACCATACGCTTTCCATCACTCACAATGACTATGCATATTTAGCGCAACAAACCGGGCATACATAATCAATACCTTCCCCTGGTGCCTCACTGATTGAGACACAGTACAGATGCAGCCAGCGACCACAAACATCGCACTGCACCCATTTAGGTCGGGTGCTGGTAGGTGGTTTCTTTGAAAGGGCCATCAGACACTCAACCATGTCACAGGTTTTCCGCTGGTCAGGTGGGGGCACAGCGTTGGTGATCAGTTTATTCTGGACATAAACCCTCATGTCTTTGGCATATTTCCCAACGCTTCGAGGATCAATCCCTCTTGTAATGGCAAGAGCATTCTGCAGCAAAATAAATTGAAAAAAAGAATAAGAAACTAAATGGAACTTCGACTGCGCGCAGTCGAAAATGATGCCTCCATCATAGAGCAATTTTACACACCAAAACAGAAGAATTTTTTCAAATTCAATTTCAATTGTAATCCATTAACAGGTTCTCAGAATATCGTGATTACAAGCAATTTCTCATATACATATATGACCCTTTGATCTTTGACCTCATGACCCTAAAATCTACTCAGTTCATTGGCTCTGCAAGATGTCCTGAGTTAAATAGTAATCCATCTGTCAGTTCTAATGAGAATGCGTTCACAAGCTATTTTTGCGTACATAATGAGCCCATGACCTTTGACCTTATGAGACAAGAATCTACTCAGTTCATTGGCTCTGCAAGATACATAAATGATCTAAGTTTGGCAGGAATCCATCAATCAGTTCTTGTGATAACGCGATCACAAGCTATTTTTGCATATATAATGAGCCATGTGACCTTTGACCTTCTGACCCCAAAATCTAATCACTTCAAGATACATACATGACTTAAGTTTGGCAGTAATCCATCAATCTTTTCTTGAGATAACGCGATCACGAGAATGGGACGTAGGCCTACAGACGCGGACAACCAGAAAACATAATGCCTCCGGCTAGTTTGTAGCAGAAGCATAAAACTAGTGACATAATCAATAAGAATTTGGGCCAGCAAAAGAATCCTCTTATATTGGGTACCTTGGTTTATCAGAACTCTTTATAACAAGGTTCCACTGTTCTAAACTGCAAAATAGAGACCTAGCAGTGCCCATTTGGCAACTAGAAAGTGGATCTTGGCCTTTATGCATTTATACATATAAGCCCCCGTGGGGGTGAGGGGAATGATGTCCTCCATCAAACACCTTAAGACCACATCTCCTAATTATTATGTAAACAGCATGAAACAATCCATAGAATAAAACTGATGGGTTATTCTTACCAACATGACAAATGCCCCACAGGAATGTCCATCTTCTTGCCTGGCAGACTGGAGATTGCCAACCTTCCATGACGTTCCAGCTAGGTCTCCAATTTTCTCTGATCTGCATGCCATGTAGGCTCTTGAATAAAATTTGAAATTACAAAACATCTTAATATTTCATAGCATACTCCTTGATTTGAAATTTACAATATGTGCATTCAATAAACATAAAATTAAATTAATTGTCATGAAGGGCAGACAAAAATTATTGCCCAGGTAACAAGTAGCATTTAAACAAAACAATATATATTATTATATTTGCACAATTAAACAAATTTACTTACAAAGATCTTAAAACATATTTGAACGGTATAAGTGCCACTTGATTTCAATTAACATGTTTGCTGTTTTACTAGTAGTAGTATTAATTAATGATCAATGGAAGCTTGGGGTTGATGTAGTTTCTTATAAAAGCTCATTGCAACATATATGGCAGCTCATAGAGCGCAATCATTCAGAATACAGAGTGAAATAAAACAATTGATTTTGTCCTAATAAAATGTTGGATAGACTTGTTGCATTAATACAAATTTAAAAAAACATCAAGCAGTTATAGCCCAATTCTAGCGCCATGGTATATAGTAACAAAAATGAAGGGGGATGCAAATGAGGGTTAGTCTGAGCTACTCCTTCAACTTGGTGAAAAAGGTATGTTTATGAAATATGCTCAACTCAATGTGACACTATCATACATCAATAGTGGTCTAGGAGTCCTTGCCTGAAGAGAAAACATTATTGTATATACTGCATTTATTCTAATAAAAGATTACTCACTTGAACTTCTTTATGCAGTTGATGGATGTGTTGGGATTGGTTGGTAGGGAGTCCAGAACCGAAACTTCTCCTCTCTGTACATCAGCTGCCAAGAGTACCCAGTGACTCTTATTAACGTTGAATGGCAGAAAGATCCATTTGTACTTTTGCATGTTCACCTATAGATGACAGTATACAGATATATGTGTGAGCTAGCAACACTACCCATTGGGAACTCCATTAGACCCCCTTCTCTTAAGGACAATTTCTACAAATTTTGGTGAATATATTTAAGTGTTTAAAGTGGGATTGCACTACGGTACTTGTTGCTAGTACTAATGCCTTCTATAGCTCACAATTTCTAAAAGGTCCAGTTGTTCCCCTTTGTGCCCCCCCCCCCCCTGCCACATGTTGATAAGATACAAAATTGGGAAGATATTTCCTCAAATATTGTCTGAACATTTGATGTAAACTTTGGACACATACATGCATACATTCCTGTAGCCATGACAACCATGAAATAAAATGCATGTTTTTCATACTTTTTTCCTTGATTTTAACTAACCTGTCAATATTACATTGAATGAAGCTGCATCTTGGTATTTTATTTTTAGGAATTACTAGTTTATTATGTTTCATTCAAAATGTTTCATTCTTCTTTTTTTCTTTTCTTTAAATAGCTGCGACACAGCCATAAGCGTCAGAACCTGGCGGATACCGGCGCTATATAAATAACCATATTATTTATTTATTATTTATTTATAAAATACAATAAAACTTGATTATATTGAAGAAAAAAGAAAAAAAACCTTTGAATTACTAGTTTATTATGTTTCATTCAAAATGTTTCATTCTTCTTTTTTTCTTTTCTTTAAATAGCTGCGACGAAGCCATAAAATACAATAAAACTTTATTATATTGAAGAAAAAAGAAAAAAAACCTTTGAGGTCCAACTTTTTCTCTAGATTGATTTAATTATTATATCTTGCATCAAAGTTCAAACATTGACGATTTGTATTGATACTCACAACAGAACAATATACATATTTCTGTATTGATAAATATCATAAATATAATTTTATTACATATTGATAAGTCAATGATATAGGGTATCTTTGATAGGATTTTGAACCTAAAATGAAAAGATAGGACCACTAAAGAGTAGTCCTCATCTGCACACCCTCTCCAATTTCAAGAAAATCCATGGGTAGAAGCTCTTTGGCATAATAATAAACCTCTTCAAATTTTTTGAGCGAGTGGACGCTTAGCTTTGGAATGAGCAGTGAATATAGATTAAACTAGATGGAATTTTGACTGCGCGCAGTCGAAAATGATGCCTCCGCCATAGAGCAATTTAAACAAGTTTGGAGTTTAAATCTCCAGTGGTTCTTGAGATATCATGATAACAATCTCAATGTATGGAATTTCATAAGTTGACCTCTGTGACCCTTGACCTTTGACCTACGTGCTCCAAAATCTAATCAGATGGTCTTCCTATGGTGATACACACTATCATTAAGTTTGAAGTTTAAATCTCCAGTGGTTCTTGAGATATTATGATATGGTGATACATACTATCATTAAGTTTGAAGTGAAAATTCTCCAGTGGTTCTTGAGATATCGCGATAACGATCTCAATGTATGGAATTTCATAAGTTGACCTCTGTGACCCTTGACCTTTGACCTACGTGCTTCAAAATCTAATCAGATTGTCTTCCTATGGTGATACACACTATCATTAAGTTTGAAGTTTAAATCTCCAGTGGTTCTTGAGATATTATGATAACAATCTCAATGTATGGAATTTCATAAGTTGACCTCTGTGACCCTTGACCTTTGACCTACGTGCTCCAAAATCTATTCAGATCGTCTTCCTATGGTGATACATACTATCCTTAAGTTTGAAATTTTTACATCTCCAGTGGTTCTTGAGATATCATGATAACAATCTCAATGTATGGAATTTCATAAGTTGACCTCTATGACCCTTGACCTTTGACCTACGTGCTCCAAAATGTAATCAGATTGTTTTCCTATAGTGATACACACTATCACTAAGTTTGAAGTTTAAATCTCCAGTGGTGGGGGGATAGAGCCTTCTCTTCATCTGCTCCGCATCTTTGGAACTCTCTACCTGTCCAACTTCGAAATTGTAACAACATTGATACCTTTAAATCTGAACTCAAAACCTATCTTTTCCGGCAACATTGCGAATAATATGTGACATATTGAGGGAGCCAGGCGCCTTTGAATGCTTTTGCAGATAAATGGCGCTATACAAATGCTGTTCATCATCATCTTCTTGAGATATCATGATAACAATCTCAATGTATGGAATTTCATAAGTTGACCTCTGTGACCCTTGACCTTTGACATACGTGCTCCAAAATCTAATCAGATCGTCTTCCTATGGTGATAAATACTATTCCCGAGTCTTAAGTTTAAATCTTAAATGGTTCTTGAGATATTGTGATAACGGTCAAACGGGACGGACGTACGGACGGACAACCCGAAAACATGATGCCTCCGGCACCACCTTCGGTGGCGGAGGCATAACAATTGAGAGAACCTCGCTACTAATCAAGCTTCAAATAAAATAAAATAAATTTATTAACTTCTCATTTCAAAACTATTGGTCCCTTTGTTCTAAAATTTAAAGAGGGTTATTATCATGCCTAAGAGATTCTACCCATTGAATTTCATCGATATTTGGGAGGGTATGCAAATGACGGCTAGTACCTTTAAAAGTCATCAAAAATGTGAATGTTTGCGGCGTGTACATGCAGCTACAGTTTGTGTACCAATTCTTGATGATTGGCTCAATACTATAGAAATGTCATTGACCCCCTGGGCCTGGGAAAGCTATAATAGCTTAGGCTCCTTGGGCTATAGACCTTTGAGACTTACATTCAGAATCATTTGTCTGGCTGATGTACGTAGCTCATATCAACTTTTCAATGATGGGATCATATTTTTATTGTTTTGTTTATTTTTTAAATATTTTGTTTGCAAACTGATGTCTGGATTTGGCCTACTCCTAACTTCTAGTTAGTAGGTACTGATAATTAAGCTAATATTGATAACCACATCATTTTACAGTTTCAAGCAAGTTAATCTAGACAACAAAGAAACATTACCTTCTTGAAGAGCCATGTCTGATACATAGCTCTCTGCCAGTGTACTGCAGCATACGAAGGGATTGGGAAGATGTGGCCACTCCTGTTGACATTAATTTCCTTCGACAGCAGTGCCATAAAGGAATTGAGAATCTGAAAATGGCATAAGGTAAAGTGGTTATTACAACAAATAGGAAAAACATGTTCCTGATATTAATGAAAATTTCCATAAATTAGATTTTTTCCTTTTTCGGAGGGGGGGAGGGGGGCTATTTTGGTGTCTCACTAAATTCTGTTGAATAATAAAAAAAAATCGAGAACTATCAAGGAGCAAAGAAGACAGCATTAAATCTTTATAATTAGAATAAAAATACATTAATTTGCTAATTTACTAATTAAAGAATTACCAAAAAAGAGAGAAATCTGTAATCAACCATTTTCAAAGTTACTGAAAGAATGATATCTCTGTCTTGTCATGGTACAATTAATTGCAATATAATTATCATTTATATAATTGCAAAACAGTCAGAGAAATACCCTCCGACTTCTAACTATAATATGGCCAACCAATATGTCATAACATCTTTGATGTAAGATCAATAAATTGAGAAGTGACATGCATCTCACTCCTGCTACACAGATGAGACAATACATATGATTTCCACCTTCCCCAAGAAATGTGATTGACAAAACTGTACAGAAATCTAAAATATATGAAAATGTTACAATAAACCATTTATACTCATTGAAATGCAAATCATGCTCAACATTTCTTTCTTCATTGAGCCTTCAGCATTATATTGATTACAAATGATACAAATGCATATTTGGTTAGAGTAAGATAATAATAACATCTTTTGATAGATAAATTACCTTGTCATTTATCCAATTAGGGAACTGCAAGGACTTGAAATCTCTAATCTCAAGGGTCTCCCCGCATACTGAATAACGATTGTCGTCATTTAGTGAAGGAAGCGGTTGAATCTTGAGGCCCTCCAATTCAGGAATTATGATGCCTGCAACATGAACATGATTGATGTCATAATTTCTATACAGTACTTTGGAAAGTGAAACGATAAATATATATTTATAGAACAGATTCTATCAAGAGGTTGTCAATTACATTATAATATAATGTCATAATACGACTTTCTTTAGCTAGTTACACTATTGACCTTCTCCAGTATGCATCATCTGCATACTGGTATACTTTTCGTAAAGAAAAGGGGATACAGAATGTGTATTTACAAGAAGGAAAGCAACTTCAGGCAGGGCTTGTAAATATAGCCCATAGTACTGTTTTGTGTATGTCACCATTTAAGCCTTATGTGTTTTAAAATCTCTCTTCATTGAACATGTTGTCAGGAAGTGCACATATCCTGTATCCAGTAACATTACTGAATAACAATATGACGTTCTATTCCTTATTCCTTTTTCCTTCAGTAAAATGACACGAAAGGTGTAAATGCAAGTACAAGAATTAAAAAAAAAAAAGTAATCAATGAGAAAGCCAATTCAATTAACTGTAGCTCTTCCCCAAATTCGCTGCTGTTTACATACCGGTACCCTCTTTGCAGATATGATTAGCAATTTTAAAAGACAAATAATTTACTTGTTGTGTGCTTTCTGCCACCTGCAAACTTCTTTCTGCTGCACTCTTTCAATGTGGCTTGTCGGAGCCTCCCTTTGTTGCCTTTGGGTAAAGTAAAAGTTATACAAGGGGAAAGAATTGCATGTTAAACTACATAGTCACTTTTGTAAAACCAAGAACTGTATAATATAACCTAAAGTAAAATCATTCCTAATAGGTTTATAAGTTTTACTACAATGCTGAAGTTTTCTTACTTGACATTTTATGCAATAGTTTTTAAGCCAGAGTTAATTCCTCATTTTTAAGCTCAGTATCGTGTCATGAACTAGTACATCATACATGTACTTCATTTTCTCCTTGTGCTTTATTTTTGTTAGTTGTTTGGTTTATCAGGTTGTGGTTTATGAAATGTTTTACATTTTATTTAAACATTCATGCTATATTTTGCAGGTCTTTTGGCTGCACCAGTTGGTCAGGAAGAGGGACCATTACGATTACAGTGATTAAGTTTGCTTTCCTCTTCCCTGGCAGCCAACTGATGCACTCAGAGGACCGCCAGTGAGATTGTGCATTTATAATTGACATTCCTTTAATTTTTGTCTACTCATATTTACATTGTTATATTTTGTGTGAATTGCCGAATAAATAATAATAATAATAATAGTAATAATAAAACTATTTACAAACTATGTGGATCTTCAACTGCATACGTGCAGTTAAAGGTCAACAATGATACCTCAACCATTGCACAATTTTTATGTCAGCTAGGCCTAAATTGATAATTCAGTAAGTTCAGTTTTGATGGTAATTTGTCAACCAGATCTTAAAGGACTTAGTAACATTGTCTAAATCCTATAAATTTGAATTTCTGAACCCCCCCCCCCCCCCCTCCCCCCCCCCCCCCTGGCTAAGGGCCTGGAATTACTCCTAGAATGAATGCTTATAAAAAAATATCAACATTCATGGTAGGCCATAAACACTGCAAATGAAACCACCTGACATACAACATATTTCAATTTATGTTCCCTTTCCCAAAACCAATTTTGATCACTCATCAACAAAGCTGTAATGGAAAAAGTGTAAACACGTGGAAGAAGGGGTATAGCTAGTGGTTTTGTTTAATTTAACATTTTGGATCAACGTATCTAGATCTATATCTACAGCTACAGATGGGACCTCAAGTCATGGAATAATTTGCATTAATTAAAAAAGGATGATTGATGTAGTCATGATTCAACTGCATGTAAACAGACACACAGTCGAGGGGCTCAATCCATTTGAACAAGATTCATTGTTATGTTACCTTATGTTGTCTTTTTTCCTCCTCTACTGCTTTCTTGATCCTGGCTGCATGCTTGTCTCGCCCAAACATACATGAATACTCCCATCGACCTCGCAGAAAGAAAGGTGTACCATCACCTTCAATGATGGAATCAGAAAATCTGATCTTTTGTTTGGGTCCTAATCATGCATGGGGGAAAAACAAGGGCATTGATTGAAGTTTGTTTTAGTGAACACTCAACATGAATGCCTGCGTCCCAAAAAAAGATGTTGGAAAGGGTATCATTTTCATTTATATTAGATCTATAGACTACAGCATCGTCGATTCAACATTTCAGCACTTAGTTATAGGCCTAGTCAAGACTAGTATTAAAATAAAATTCTTATGGAGGGTAATTTTTAGGTGCATTTTGCACTATTGAGGGTAGGTCTAGTCTAACGTGAATAGGCTTTCAAAGCCAAAGGCAGCATTCCATATTGCTACTGCTCGAGATCAAGACCTAGATTCTAGATATGTAGATGATTTTAAACAAACAAGGCAGTTAAGAATTTAAGGTAAGATGACTCACCTTCTGGAAAGGAATTATGCCTCTCCGACACAAACGTCAGAGAGGAAAAAACCTCGAAGTGTTTTTTTACTTCACACGCTTCCTCAAATGTTGAGACCCATCCAAGAGCAGGAGCTCGTTCAGACACAGGGTGCCAGATGTCGGTCCACGGCCTAGGTCTAGGGCAAGGGGGTTGAGGCGAAGGAGGCGGAGCCGGAGGAGGCGGAGAAGGGTCGGGCACATCAGCCTCATTACTACTCATCCTTATTGAGTCGAGAGAGGACATTTTGCTGCTGCTGATGTCAGATGATGATGATGATATATAGCTAAACAGCTTAACTAGATCTAAGCCTAGATCTAGTAAAGTAGGTCTAGGTATACCGCTACCGTATCGTATGCAACATACACGATATCAGCACAGTACATGCCATGTTCGAGGTATATATACGGCGCGCTAGCGCTAGCTCATATAGCGCGGCTAGCGGCTCTGCAAAATTAAAATTGGCGCGACGGCTGACGTCACGATATGAATATTCAGTATAGACCTGCAGGTGTGCTCCAAACGACGCACCCTATAACATCCCACCTCAGAATGAATGTATGGGACTGACTCCTGGTGCACTGCACAGACACACTCGCACTGACACGCCACAAAAAAACGTGTATTTAAATTGTTTGTACGAACCTTCTGACAGCAATGCTGTACCGACCGAAATAAAAATGATGAGTAAAGTATCTGCAAACATGATTTCAATTAAGTTGATTCTAAGATTAACGCTAAATTGAAAATAAAAATGCAATTTTTGTACAGAAAAATGCTCAAGACATGTCAAGAAGAAGTTAGATGCTTGATATAGATAGATTATGCGTTGCCAATCAAAGAAGAGAATTAAATTCAAAATTTATGCCGACGTAGATGTGTATATTTCAAACATTTGAATTTACTAAAACATATCACTTTTGGAGGTATAGGCCTAAAACTATCTTTATAAAATATAATTATTTTTAATGCACGAAATCGGCCTGATATTTGATTTGATATGTGACATGAAATATAATCCCTGGCTAGTTAGTTTTACATTGCTATGTGAATATTCCATTTTATAATAGATAAATAATCAGCATAATTTGATTTGATACATATTGACAGAGTAGTTAGTTTATGGTCAGAAAGGTTGATGATGATGATGATGAGGCCTAGAATAAAAACTTGTTGCATTGCCCTTTGCGACCGACCCAAAAATCTGAAAATCCGGTCGGCATTTAAAAAAACTTTTTTTTTTCAACCGTTTTTTAGAATTTGTTGTATTAATGAATAAAAAAATATGTATTTTGATTGACTTTGATATAAATGCATAAAATCAAATTATTCCAAACAATCTTCACATTGCTAGCAAGCTTTACAGGTAGTTAAAAACCAACTTCGTTAGCAGGAAATCTCGAGTGTTGTCTCAACACAACATTGCAAACCATGGATTATTATGAGGTGAAAAAGATATGAATGAAACGATGACTCGAAACACATGTATTAAAGCAATACAAACTGAGAAATATCAGCCAAAAGAGGGCGGGAAAAAACAAAAAAAACATTTAAAACTGAAAAATATCGGCCCAATTAAGCTAGAGTGCGACAAAAAAAAAAACTTTTCCGACCGACCGACCCATGTTTTGGCACCTAAAGGGCAATGCAACAAGTTTTTATTTTTAGGCCTGATTGATGGCTGGATGATTGGATCTGAAAAACAAAATAACTGACTGAGCACCTCTCAATATGACACAAAGATTTAATTTTTTCTTTGGTGGAGAACATTATATCTCTGATTGGAACTTAACAATCTAAATCAAAATATATAAAAAATAAAGTGCATGCATGCTGTTCATTGTTTGTATAGGCCCTATGGTCTTTATTTGCTTTGTTAGTTGGACTTATATTCCTTTTCTCCAACTGTTGCAATCTTCAAATCGGCATTCAAATTTGTGATTGGTATATTTTTCGTCTACATTCACCTGCATTTTTATTGTTCGGTAACTGAAAAAGCTTCCCCTTTGTTTATTGAAGTACGACTGAAGCGTCATGATGAATAGATTCAGAGTGAGAGGGATGAATTCGGCTACTAGAACGTATTTGTTCCAGGTAAAATCATATGTTTAAAGGAATTTCTAGATAGGTTATGCAGTATGTTAATATTACGTAATTTCGATAGCATTGTCCCATATGTTACTTTTGGTGTAGGCCTAATGTCGAAAAGTGTTCGTGGTTCTAGTTCAGCCAAACTCAAATTCAGAATGCAGATTACGATCATTACGGAAGTCTTTCGATAAATTCTCTGGTGACTGATGAGTTCGAGGGTCTTAGATTTGGTAGATACTCATGATAATAGACGAGTCGGCAGTCAGGTTTGTGATGATGGTGACCATGTTTATTGAACTACGACGGATACCGGATATATCGGATATCGTATATCGTAACATCCCCCTTCCTCTGGAAAGATTGGGAATCAGTGAACATCACTGATCGATGATTAATGACATATTGCTTTGATAACAATACTTTTGGTAGTATGCAAGTTTTGGTTATTTGCTTCCTAATAAACTTTTTCCAATCAGGTTATATAACATAAAATCTTGATTTGTTTTCAATACGTTTCTTTTGTATTGTATTAACGAATGAGTATTTAACTGTCTATATAATTATATCGTTCCACTTTCAACTTCACAGTTGATCTGCAAGATTGAACATAGTTTTGATATAACTTGATTCCTTTATAAAATGAATTTCCAAACGAAACATGTTTGGGCTAGCATCTGTTTAGACTTATAAACATTATGCTTGTCATACCAAAAATACTGTACAATGATTATACATACATATGAACGATAAACTTCTTAGACTACATTAAACTAAGCGTCTTCTGTGTTCTTCTTTATCTTCTCTCTTCTTTGAAGAAATTTAAGAGTTCAGTTTCAATCTTCAAACATGTATCTCGCTGGTGTACGGATGTTGCGTCCATATCTTGTTGTGGTTTGCGAGTTTGATGTTGGTCCTTTAGATTGAATGTTCTGAGTTTCTGGTGTTGGCTGATGGCTGTTGCCATTCTGCTCTGGTGTTTCTGCTTGAGTAGGTGAAGTGTAGTCTTCGTCGAACCTAACACGCTTTGGAGTAGGGTTGGTTGACGATGGAATCTCCCTCAGGTGAGATCGGTTTCGTCTCAGGATTCCTCCGTTAGGTGTTGATACTTCATACGACCTAGGCTCGTCGCAGACTTTGGATACTTTGGCTGGTATCCAAGTATGATCTTTGGGATGTAGGACTCTGACTGGTTGTCCTACGTGGAGTGGTGGAAGATCTGGACCCGCATGTCGATCGTGCGTTTCTTTCATCTTACTCTGTCGATTCAAGAGATGATCAGTGGTGGTAGATTCTCTTGAAAGATGATGACTTGGCAGTGTTGTTCTGATGGGTCTTCCAAACAACATCTCTGCAGGTGATCTCATGTGACTGTCAACGGGTGTTGCTCTTAGGTGTGACATAGCCAGTTGACTGTCTTGGCCAGTCTGTGAACACTTTTTCAACAGATTCTTGACGGTACGAACCATTCTCTCAGCTAGTCCGTTGGATCTTGGATAGTGAGGTGAAGAGGTTGTATGGGTGATCGACCACTTCCGGCACATGTCCTTGAAGTGCTTCCCGACAAATTGTGGACCGTTGTCGGATACGATCTCCTCTGGTGGACCAAATAGACTGAAGATTCCACTCATCACGTTGGCTACTGCAGCACTTGATGTGTCAGTCAGCTTGTAGACTATCGGATACTTGGAGTAATAGTCAGTGACGAGTAAATAGTCTTGTCTGTTTAGCATGAACAAATCTGTTCCTAGTCTAGTCCAAGGTGCTGAAGGTACATCATGGGGAAGCAACGGCTCTTTCTGTTGCCTTGCCTGGTGTTCCTGGCATGCAGCACATTGCTTTACGATCTGTTCAATGTCCTTGTTGATGTGTGGCCAGAACACTGTCTCACGAGCTAGTCGTCTCGTGCTCTCGATTCCCATGTGTCCAAGATGAAGTTGTCTGAGGATATCTTCTCGAAGTGTCTTCGGTATGATGACTCTGCTTCCTTTGAAGAGTACTCCTTGAGATACTCCAATCTCATCTCTGTAAGACCAGAATTCCCTGAGGGATTTCGGCAGCTCCTGGAGAGTTTCAGGCCAACCCTGAGTGACTGTCTGCCACAATGACCTAAGAACAGGGTCATTGGATGTTTCCCTCTGGAGTTCTGTTCTCTTGTGTTGTCCGAAGAAGATCAAGTCGATTTGATGAGTGTCTTCTACTTCGGAGCAGATTGATTCCACTCTGATGTCTAGTGGAACATCGCGTGCTTCCTTGGGGTTAGGAAGACGGCTCAAGGTATCTGAAAGAATCATTTCTTTCCCAGGTCGGTACTTGACTTGGCATCTGTATCCTTGTACCTTGATCAATAGTCTCTGTAGACGAGGTGGTGCGCTTCTTAGAGGTTTCTTCCAAATTGTCTCCAAAGGCCTGTGATCTGTTATCACAGTGAATTCCTTCCCGAATAGGTATGTATGGAATCGGACTAGGGCTAAGGTTTCCCTCTCTATGTTCGAGTAGTTGGACTGTGCATTGGAGAGACTTTTGGATGCAAAAGCTACGGGTTTGCCATCTTGGAGCAGGCATGCTCCCAGCCCTTTCATTGATGCATCTACCTCAACGGTTGTCTCTTTCTTTGGGTCAAAGAACTGCAGGCATGCACCCGATGAGACTGCGCTTTTCAGGCTGTTTAAGGCATGTTCGTGATCCTCGTCCCAGACGAATGGAATTTCCTTGTGAAGGAGTTCACGAAGTGGTGCTGACTTCTCTGATAGATTAGGAATGTATGGTGCTAGGTATGTGAATAATCCTAGGCATCTCTGAACATCTTCCTTGTCCTTGGGTGAAGGCATTGTGTTGATAGCTTCAACCTTGCTTGGATCTGGGAAGATTCCAGATCTTGTGTACATGGATCCAAAGTAGCTGATAGCTTCCTTCTTGATAGTACACTTGGAGCTGTTGAACACGAGTCCTTCCTGTTTCGCTGTCTCCATGAGTAAGTGGAGATTCTTGTCGTGTTCCTCCTCTGTTTTCCCGACAATGGCAATGTCGTCTGCGATACATACGCAGCCAGGCACATTCTGGACGATCCTATCCATGTGTTGCTGGAAGATGTCTTGGCTTGTGCATAAGCCGAAGGGTAATCTTTGGAAACAATATCTTCCAAATGGTGTTCTGAAGGTGGTCAGGTCTTGGCATTCCTCTGCTAGGTGTACTGACCAGTATCCAGCCTTTGCGTCTAGCTTGGAGAAGAATTGAGCTCCTGCGAAGATTGGTTGGATTTCTTCCATGGTTGGAATTTTGTGTGGACACCTTTTCAAGGCATCGTTCAACCTTCTGGGGTCAAGACATATCCGTATGGATCCATCTTTCTTCACAACGGTGGTCATCGAGCTACACCAATCTGTGTGGTTTTCTATCTTTCTGATGACTCCTTGCTTCTCCATGTTATCTAGTTCGGCTTTGATCTTGTCCTTCAGATGGACACTGCACTTTCTAGGTGCATCTATGGTTGGCTCTGCATCATCTTTCAGATGCAGCATTGCTTTCCCGCTAAAGCTTCCTATGGCATCAAACTGATCTGGGTATGTTTGTTTGAGGTCACTAACACTTGTGATAGGTGTATGTGTAGGTGTGTCCTTGTGCATTGTGTGGATTGTGATAATCCCGAGATCTGTGCAACCTAACAACCCTCAGATAGCTGGTCCATTCACGTCTGCTACGTAGAATGTATGTGTATACCATTCTGGACTCTT